ATATATATATATATATATATATATATATATATATATAATTCATTTTTATCATACACAACCATGTTATCATCTATATCATTGTCATATTCATTTTTATCATACACAACCATGTTATTATCTGTATCATTATCTAATTCATTTTTACCATACACAACCATGTTATTTCACAGATCAAGTAGAAACTCCTCAAAATAGCATTACGAATAACGAGTGTTGATTATTCTGCTTTATAAATGTAATTAAAATGAATGATTCTGATACAAGATAGAATCACATATAAACACAAATTATCTAGTTCATTTGGTTCTTGTAGCTAAAACCGCAAACCAAACCGTACTAATCAGAGAGTAACCCTGAATCGGGACCCAGCCACACTATCTGAAACAAAACAAAGTGATTCCGTTTGCTTTCACCGTCGTATAATTACACGATAGTAGAGATCGGTCTCATCTCAACCAAGCATCAGAACAATTTCAAGATTCTGGGACACACTGTTCTTGCATAGCAAGCGGAACAGCTGGTCTCCAGGTTGTGCTGTTGGGGGTATCCATGAGAGCAATACCGAGTGTAGACAGGTCTTTTCTAATTGCGTCTGATCGTTCATACTCCTTGTTCTTCCGTGCTGCATTTCTTTCCTGGATCTTTTCAAGAACTTGATCTTCGGTCAATTTTGCACGCTTGAGCGCCTTTTCCCTTAGCTGCTGCAAAACCTTCATATGAATATAATAACATCAATTTTCTTGTACTTGGCATTTCGTTTACAAAAAACCAAGATACTTGCAATAATGCGGAAAAAAAACATGCTAGTTGGCAGAAAATACACCACGGCTGGCTAGAAAATAGTGGGGAAAATAAGGGTGGGTAAAAACAGATCCGGAGTGAGTGACAACAGAAGAACCACACAAGGACCCAATGGGACCGAAACCAGCTATATTCATTTAGGTTCTTGGTTCCTTTCGGTCCGGGTTGAGACCTGAAGGAAGAAAAACCCACTCTAGTCGGCAATTGAGTTGTGTTCGCTAATTTATGCAAACTGGAATGTTTTTTCCTCTCATTTTTGCAAATATGTTGGTACTTTGAAAACAAAGTACCACCTGCTAGTTGCTCAATAATAACGAAATTGGGGACGATTGCTAATCTACAAGGGTACTTGAGAAAACCTCATCCAGATGGTAGTTAATACTCGATTCAAAGAGAGAATTTATCGTTGATGGTTTAAGGCCTAGTAATTTATAAATTAAAACCGGAGAGAGTTTTTTGGTTTTTCCCCCTCTAAAGTATGTAGGGGTGTTCAAAATACCGCACAATCAGCATAACCCGCCCACACTGCACCAAACCACACGGTTTATAACTTTCGCAGTATGGTTTGCAGTTTGTATTTTTTTTTTTTTTTTATACTGCACTATGCAGTTTGGTTTGTGCTTTTGAATTACTCGAACCGCACCGCATATTAATATTAATAGTTAAATGACATTCATTTTGATTTACCAAATTTTTTACTTTTCTATGTTTTTAACACAGTTTTAACTAATAAAGAAATATTATAGTAATCCATGTATTAAATTGAATTTCATATATTTTACAATTCAATTTTGTACTCAATCGTGATATTTCCACCCTACCATTTGAATATTATTATGATTTTTTGCGGCATTTAAATAAATATTGCATGGCTTTATGTTTAATGATAATTTAAGTTACTAATAATGTTCGAATTTATATTGTTGTGAAAGATTTACTATTAATACAACTTCAATCTTTGTTATGAATGATCCCTGTATTTTGGACTATGAAACTTTGTATTGCACTATACACGCATCATAGTTAGCCACAAACTGCATGTACCGGTATTTTACGGTTTGAGGCACCAGCATTGTGGTTTGTGGTTTGGAAAAATGCTCCAGCCACACACGTGGTTTGCTTTGTGGTTTTGGCTCTAAACCACATTGTACCGCACCCGACACCTCTAAATCTATGTCTATTTTTTATAATTGTGCTTGTCCAGGCCAGCATGCGCATGCCTCGACTAATCCCACAGAGCCCTGAAGTTAACAACCATGAAAACATCCGGTGGCCCTGAGAGCACTCGACCTGGTGACCACAGGGGAGCAAACCCAAGATCTTATCTGTTAAGCTACTAGAAAGGTTAATGTATTTCTAATTTTAGTACTTGTTTATGTTTAAACCTAGTAATGAAATTTCTTACTCAAAAAGCATAATTACTGTCAAATTTAGAAGCAAAAATATACCTTGACACTCAAAAGTCAAAAGCAAGCTTTTGGGATGGAGATTGTATTAGGTACCTCATGGTAACTTGTTGGCATGAGCCCTAGAATGTTGAGGACATTCCTGACGGTCTTCTCCAAAGCAGCAAGTGACTGTATTCGCATTCCTTGCTTCTTCCCCTGCAAATTGTATTTCATGATGAACAGTTAGACAAACAAAAGAGAATGGCATCAAGAAACTTATGCGCATCTACAGAAAACGGCATTTTCATCCTCAAATTTTAAACGATGCATAGAAAAGGGCGACCATGGAAAGCAATAGCTCCTCAGATTTCCAAGGGTTCAGTAAGTATATTTTTTTCCTTTGGATAAAAGTTTCTAATCACAAAGGAGTAGCATTAAGGCAACTTCAAAGCTCGACCCTTGATAAAAACAAGTTGATTCATACCAAATTAAACGAGCCCAATCTATCTCACCAGGAACGATAAGATATACGCACACCTGATCAATACCTCAAAAAGTAGAGCGGTTGTTTCCAAAAAGCAAGATGATTCATTGAAGCAAGTAATCAATATTTTCACACCACATGACATGGCGCTTGTCACACTTTTGCAAAGAGAGAAAGAACCCCCGATAATAGAAGTTAAAATATTACAGGGAAGAGCATAGTAGTCAATAAGCACACTTGGTGCAACAAGCATCGAAAGTGCAATCTTAAAAGCACGTCTTAACATTTCGGACACTTACATCATGCACTATGCTTGGACCAAATATGACATGAACATTAAACAGGTATGATAACTCGTTAGGGTAGCTCAACTGGTAAGACATTGGGTTTGCTCCCCAGTGGTCACCAATTCGAGTTGCCTGCTAACTTTTTAACATCAGGCCCCATGGGATTAGTCCACAAGCCGGGCCCCCAGACACCCACAGTTATCAAAAGGAAGTATGGTACAAGGTCATATGTAGGAAGTTCAATGAGAAAAGTATAATGCTCCACAAGGCCTTTTATGCAACAAAAAGGCATACTTGTGCCAATGGTTTGCTCAATTTCAGGGGGGCTAAACCTTAGGAGTGCCACTTTGCACAATGGTAAGTGCCTAAATTAGCATCAAAAGTGAAGTACCTTACGAGTATGCAGAAGATCATTGGCAGTTTTCAGAGGTTCGGACAATGCAGACAATACAACTGGAGAATGAAGATCCTCGGACATAGAAGTAAGAAAAACATCATTGAATTTTTTTATGCAATCAACTATTTCTGTAGGTATATTTTCTTTCTGACTTGGGTCAAGCTGCTGGCCTGCAACTTCTTCACAATCTTGCAAGGTCTGCAACCGATATAATCTCATTAATTTTTAATTTAATGTTGCAAAAATTATCAACCAATAAAAGACGTCCTTATCAAACATAAATCCACAATAGCTAGTTTCTCAAGCTGAAGCTGCATGTATGATGTGTACATGAGAAAGCACAACATTATTAGATAGAATTCTGTGCGGAGGGCCACAATACGATACCTGATATATGTAGTAAGCACGGTCAGAAGCACTTTCCAGTAGTACATCAGAGTAGTTGATAGGAGATCGATAGTGTGTTCCAATCAGAAAAAGTCTCAAGGCCAATGGATGATGAAGTTCTATAACCTGAGAAAGAAATAAAATGCTCAAACTTGATGTTCAAAGATAACAATAAAATATTTCCTCTGCCAATATCCTTTTAGGATGTCTCGCAAGAATTGCATCATTATGAATCATCATTACAAATAAATAGATGCTTCTAATTTGTAATAATTTGTCTTTATTAAAAGGTATTTTAGATATTTGACAAAGCGTCAAAATTTCACTTTGACTATGTGTCAAGTCACACATTGCAATTTGCATGGGACGAAGGGAGTATATCAAATTCAATAGGAAAAACAAAGACTAAGGCTTTATTTGTTGAATCATTCTCTTCCAGTGTCCATTTCATGAGTCCCATTTTCATCTCTCCTGTGTAACAAAATGGGACCCACAATCACATCCCATATAAAAATAGGCCTACAAAATGACAAAACAAGAACTCAAGTATCGTCATACAATATATAAAACAAGGTGAGAGAGGGTGAAAATGATTATAAGAGCTCATGCTATTCTTTTACCTGCCGAATTGTGAAAAAGTTGCCAAGTGATTTGGACATTTTCAGTGAATCAATCGTCACAAATCCATTGTGTATCCAATAGCTTATATTGCTCTTGTCACATGCAGCACAACTCTGAGCGATTTCGTTTTCATGGTGGGGGAAAATAAGATCCATTCCACCACCATGTATATCAAATGAGTAACCTAAATAAGCAGCACTCATTGCACTGCATTCGATATGCCATCCAGGTCTTCCAGGTCCCCATGGACTCTCCCAGAAAGGCTCACCCTCCTTTGCAGACTGTAAGAAGAAAAGATGAAAATTGACCATGATGATATGCACTAAAACAAAACCAGACATTTTAAAGAAGTCCATATGATAACTTCTGTCGTACATTATGATAGCAACTCATTGTATCTAGTGCTTCTCGATGTGATAGAAAAGGCAAAAATCGAACATAAAAGAAAAAACAGACAACGAACACTGAGATGCAAGAGAGAATATATTATCATTTGGACCAAATGCGTAGAGCACTGTGATAATATAAGATTTCTACCATTATGTTATTCCCCTTTGTTTTTGGACATTATGTTTGGGAGCTCATATTAAGTATTGTAGCGGGTCATTGATGACGAGTTTTTTAAATCGGAACATAACTTCTGATGAGTGTATGAACTATTACAAATTGGCAACTTACTTTCCACAGAGCAAAATCAGCTGGATTTTTTTTCCTCGAGTCCACTGCCACACGCTCACCAGCTCGATTATCTTCTAACTTCCGCCCTGAGAGTCGTCCATATTGAGGAAACTCATCGACAGAGAAGTATACATCACCTTCAATTCTGTAGGCACGTCCATTGTCAAGAATCTGTGACAGATGTACATATCAAACAATGAAGCATCAGACTCAGCCAGGGGAAAGATGGGAATTGGAACAACATTAAATTTTAAAAAAATATAAGAAAAAAGATCCACGCAAAATTCGAAATAAAGTCATCCAAAGATGTCATATGTCCACCCATGATATATGATTCATGCAAAGATGCTCCTCTAAAGGCTTCCTCGAGGGCTACTTAAGCCACTTTAGTGCAAACCAGAAGGACTGGAGCTGTTGGATGTTGCTGAGTGCTGCTATAACTTAACAACCAAAAAGCTCTGCGTCGAACTTCAGCTCTTCCGAATTTCTCGTCTCGTTTTTCACCGATCAAATAGACGTGAAAACGATCTTCAAGTCACGGTTTCCCCTGTTTTTAGTCTTCTGTGCTAAAGGGGGTTATGTGAGGCTCCACTCTATCCTGTTGATAGCTGGAGGAAGAGGGAAAATAGGAAAACTTTCCGCCAGGGCCTAACATCAAAGGCACAGGTTGATCTCTCTGGTCTCTTATTTTACATGTTCCAGGAACTTCCATAACGTTGGCGTGAAGAGCCCACTTGAATATAGCATTCAGGCTCAAGATAGGGCTCAGCCAAAGCAATACTAAGAGAGAAAAGCCCTTGGGAAACTTCCAACCTTCTATACTGAGACCTTTCTTGCAAACCACTTCTGGGATTAGATGAATTTGACCGAGCTTTCGAAGAACAGTCTCCAAAAATGCACAGCTTATTATTACTTGGTAGTTGAAATGCTAGATATTTCCGTTTTGCTCGAGGATTAGGGCTTCTTCCCAGCCAGAGGCATCAGAAACTGGAGAAATCATTGACCTTGCCCCAGGTTTGATCAGGCGGTTCTTCTATGTAGGTATGGCGTTCCCCCTTGACTCTCCTAATGCCGAGTAAAAATGAGACTTTTCTCAGCCTATTTAATGCTTTTTATAACTTTCAGAATCAAAATTTAAAGATATCAAGTTATCGGGAGTGCTACTCTTCAAGGAATCGAATGCCCTAAGAGGAAGATTTCATTTGTGCACCTCGTGAGCGCGCTTGACATTCGTCTTAAGCGCACCATATGTTGGCGTGGTTCCCCTGATCTTTTGGACCAATTTTATATTATAGTGGTGTAGACTCAGCTATGAATGCCAGGCTCTTTCTTTCATAGCTGACCCAGTGCTCTTTCTCTGTGTATCCTCCTACTTATTCTTCTGGGGGGTCATAGAAGTGAAGCTTTTCGCAGCTGGAAAGCGGAGACCCACGAAAGCGATACCATAGAGATGTCTAATCCAAATATCTACGATGCTCATGTTAACATTTTACAACGATCAGAAATTCAGATATTCTATTTCTCTCAATGAAAGTAAAAAGATAATAATAAGCAGAAAACTACAAAACTAACTATTCCCGATGAGAGAGCTCTTTGCATATAAGTGGCCAAGCAATTGGTTTTTTGGGCCAAACGTTTTGAATACCATGTTCTTGGTAAAAGTCAGCAGGAAAGGATCTTTTCTAAGCACAGATACAGATATTATGGTTCAAAAACATACCTGTTTTATCATATCAACGATTTGAGGCATGTGATCAGAAACACGAGGTTCAACAGTAGGAGGCAAGCAGTGAAGATATCCCATATCCCGATGAAACTCTTCACAAAAGCGTCTGCTCAAACTGATTGGATCCTCTCCCAATTCACCTGCTCGAGCAATTATCTACAGAATTTGAAAATTGCACTAAGCTATCCTGTCATACATATGCAACAGGCAGTTGGTAATTGAATCCATGGTCTTCGGTTGGGGAACATAGCAAATAATTCCGGAAAATTTACTCGTTGACCATGAAGGCGATAGTATTTATCAACACAGTAGATCCTTATGATAGGATTATGTTTACATAGTGGCAGCTTGATTTCCTTTTATCCTATCTTCTTTTATATGTTTCTTGGAAACAAAATTTTATTTTCTATCATAGAATAAAGAAACACAAAAATCATATTTGATTTGTTCCCCATTATTAAAACCAAGCTCTCTTTCACTTTGTTTTCTTCCATTGTGTGTTGAAAAGATTTATGTTGCACTGCCACCAAAAAGTCACAACTCACACCATTTGCCTTCGCTCACCGTAAATTATAATTCTTCGACATCAGATATAACACAAATATAGCTGGAAGGTTTAGCTAGATATGCAACATCATGGAATGATTGATAAGGTCGCTCACCTTATCATCAACATCGGTAAAATTTCGAACATAATTGACTTCATATCCCATGAACCGTAGGTATCTGCCTAAGTTTCAAGTAAAACAAATAGAAAGCCACCTGATTAGTAATAGCCAAGGTGAAGAGACTAAACAAACTCATTTGCCAACATAGAAAAAGGATTATTACCAATATATATAAGAAAAGCCAATGAAATGATGGGTGTAAACCCCTTTTAGATAGAAAGAGAAACTATTTAATACTCAATTGAGCCATTTTCTTGAAATCTCTCTTCTGATTCAAAATAGCCCCAATGTTTATACAAAGGATTGCATATGGGAAATCTTTTTTACAGAAATCTTTTTTTGTAAGTATGACACACACGGCATGGAATCCCTCTTGTCATTATTTTTCAGCTTCTTAACATCAACATGCCATCGTTATACCAATAAAGAAAAAAAGATTATTTCCTAATCACAAATTTTAATCTACATCTCCTATTCTCCTTTTCTCTAGAATGAACAGGGTACTTATCCATTCTACACAGCCATGGTGAGTTCCAGTTACCATGTTAATGGTTCCATACCTTAACAGTTTCTTGCAAATTAATCAAAGCATGGAAAAAAAATTATGATCAAATTACTCCGTATTACATCCAAGGATTGCACAGAAAGCTCTCACACACAAGGACTACCCAGGCAAAAACAAAAATATGATTTACCTTGTTCAAGGATTTAACCATATATAAAATAGTAATTCATATGATACCAGATAAAAATTCAATTGACACGCCCTCAAGATATATTCCCATGTATCATTTTACACAAGTTTTAAGGGGGTTTAAGTAGGTTTGGTTTCTTATAGAAATATGTTGCTTTGTTTGCATACTTGCTACGGCTGCCACAGCAAGGTTTACCCCCTCTTCTTCAGCCATAAAATTCCATTTTTTTTCTATTGTGTTCATGGTACAATCTGTTTACATCACATCTTAATTTAGGGCATAAATTAAAAAATGCAATTCTTTGAAACTCGAGAACAGTTTGAATTGACAAATACAAAGAACATAAGAGCAAGAGAGAGGACCTGAAGAGGATATCGAACGAAACGTAAACCCTAGCATGACCAATGTGGCTGAGATCATAAGCAGTAACACCACAAACATACATTCCAACTTTACCATCGACCTTGGGTTTAAACAATTCCCTCTCTTTGCTCATCGTATTATACAACCATAATTGATTTTTTTCCGATTTCTTATCATCCTCACAATACCCGCTGGTTTTCGAAGAATTCGAGTGACCCAACGATATGGAAGAAGAACAAAGAAACTTAACTATCTTCCTGTTGGTTTTCAGAAAACTCTTGTTACTACTATCACTGGTAATGAAGATTTTTCGAGATTGGATTCGGAACAAGGGTTTGTAACACTTGAAGAATTGGAGAGCAGCCATTTTCGGCTCTCTGGAAGTGGAATCCAAGCTTCAAAAAGTAGTCTGTGCTCCGGATAGAGGTTCAAAGTGATAACTGGACATAGATGCTGAAAACTTAGGAACTGCCAAAATCGTATCAAAATAGAATCAACTTCATTTTATTGGGAACAACTTTTATAATCGTTATTTTAGGAAACCAACTTGTATCTGATTTTTATTTTGAAAAACTAACTTTTAAAATCGTTATTTTAGGAAACCAACTTGCACCTAATTTCAATTTTGGAAACCAAATTGCAAAATAATTATAGAAAAATAACTAAAATTTGTTTTTTTCTCAAAAATTAATGCAATAAAATCTATTTTTCATTTCAAATCTTGTTTTTTTTAATTCAGATATCAAATTGAACATTTAAAAAAAATCCAAATTACTATAATAAAAATTGTTTTTTATAAATGCAAAAAAAATCAATTTAATAGAAAAAAATTAATTGATGCAATTGGTTAGATATAAAAATCTTAAATGTGATATTTAATATTTATTTTTTATTGTATCAATTAATTTTTTTCTATTAAATTGATTTTTTTTGCATTTGTAAAAAACAAATTTTATTATAGTAATTTGGATTTTTTTTAAATGTTCAATTTGATATCTGAATTAAAAAAATGAGATTTGAAATGAAAAATAGATTTTATTGCATTAATTTTTGGAAAAAAAAAAGAATTTTAGTTATTTTTTTCTATAATTATTTTGTAAGTTGGTTCCCCAAAATAGGAATCAGGTGCAAGTTGGTTCCCCAAAATGACGATTTTGAAAATTGGTTCTCTAAAATAGGAATTAGGTGAAAGTTGGTTACATTTTGGTGCAATTTTCCCTTTTCATAATGAAACCAAAGGGGATGTAGCTCAAATGGGAGAGCGTTTGCTTTGCATGCGGGAGGTACAAGTTCGATCTCCTGCATCTCAATTTTTAATACGAATTATTTTTAATGTTTCTTAGAGTAAGGGGCACTCTATCCACAATTGTCCCAGATAAGAGTATTTACCAACAATAAAATGACCATTATAACTTTATTTATAATTATATGTTGAATAATATATAATTATTTTTGTAATTATATTTTACGACTTCTCTTGCGAAGTCCATCATTCCATTTAGCACTACATGAAAACATATATGAATAATTCGTGTAGAATGTTGAAATCTCCGTTTAACCATTCTAAAACATTCATTATAACCAATAATAGTTAAAAATATTGTCATCTTCTCTTCAACACTTATACGACTACTGGATTGCAACCAATTGTTTTGTTTAAAATGGTTACACAAGAGTATATAAGCATCACGAGATAGACGCATCAATTCATGACATTGTGTATTAGACCCACGTAATAATTCTTGTATATATGCATGTCCAGTCAAATTTGAATTGTTATCTCTTATTATTTCTCTCCTTTCTATTCTTGCTTCAGCTCTTCTTCTCAAATACCAATATGCAATCACCACAATCATCATTAATTGATTGCAATCCATATAACCTTGCAAAAACGAAATACAAAAAACATCGTATTATGTTTCATGCATGACATAGATCTTTAACATACAACTAGAACAACAAAAATATCAAGTTAAACAATCAACACTACAGAGTGACATAATATCAAACTGAAAATATAAAAGTTCCAAAACTCGTTCATACAGAAAACACCAAAAAGTGATAAAGTTTCATACTCGTCCATACAAAACATCAAAACTCGTCCATACAAAACATGTCGGTCTAAATACCACATCAATATCAAACATCATGTGTTTATTTTAAGTTAAGTTGGTGTGCCTTAAAGTTAACCTATGACTCACACCTCTCATCCTTCAAACGTAGCTAGATTCTTCTATAATCTATGTTTTGGCTAAAAAGAAAAAGTGTGATGTCATATAACGGGCTATCTTCCCAACCAAGTTTCTCCAATTTTGACATACAAGCGTCCATATCTCCGTCATCTGATGGTTTGTCAAAAATGGTTTTCACGTGTGTCACCACATGAGTCAACTCATCATCCCTTACTAATGGTTGATTAGCTTTTCGTTTTTTGGTTTGAGAACGAGAGGAACATTCTTGTGTCGAGTTAGATGGTCTTTGAGTTGAAATAAGAGGTGCTTGATCTGAAACAGGAGGTGTTTGTGTGGTATCCAAGCCTTGATCATCAACAACTAAAGGTGGATTAGAAACATTAGTAGCAGGCCAAGGGTTATGAGAATCAGACCAAGGTCCCCAAGTCCCCATACCCGTGGCCGCCACTCCATCAAAAACTTGCATACAAAGATTAGGATAAAGTAGTGGTGCATTCCTCAACTTGTCAGCATATTTACTGAACTGTTTATTAAAAAAAAGGAAAAACATATAACTAAAAGAAAAATATAAAGAAATTAAATTAGAAAACCAAAAAAAGAATTGAGCTTTGCCTCTGCCTTCCACTCCACTTCAGATAGATTGAATATGTTGTTTGTTGGGTTATAGACATTACATGTTTTATTCTTTAGTCTAGACCATACAAAGTAATTCCCTCGCAAATAATCATAATGATTCTTCATTTGTCTTTGATTAGCAATGAAGTTGTGAGTCCTTTTTAATGTTTCCGCTATATTGTTCCATGAGTGCATCTTAAAGCTACCGCCTTGGATTCCATTCATGGACATCTCTTGTAGACAACACTCAAAGAAAGTTTTTACTACATTCTTATTCCAACTAACCCACGATTTTTTGGGTTCAAATGATTCATCGTATGATCCATACCTATGTCAAAAAGACCCAATCATTTCAAGGTCTTCATTATCCATCATGTTTTCAATAACAAAGCATAAAAAACAAAAACACATACAAAAAAACAAGAAATATTTACGATAATAATTAAAGTACCCACGTCAAGAAATGATAAAAGAAACACCATAAACTATTAAGGTCATTTAAATAAATTTCATCAAATAAGTGCATACAAAATCCAAATAAAATTGATCACATGGAATAAGGAATTAGAGCTCCCAAGGTAAAGAAAATAATGGTAAAAATGAGGTCGATATGCCCAAAATCTAACATTTGAATATATGGAAATTAGATCATTAGAAGCAACATTTGAATATCATGTGAGATTTGTGGTCTTTGGGCATATATATATATATATAGTTTTAAATTCCCTTTATTCATTTGTTTGCTTCTATATATATATATATATATATAGGTGCTAGCACTAGTAAGAATATTGAGCAATCGAGATTGTTACTACCATTGTTGGTCCTGTTGTTGAGTCTCTCATCGTTCCCAATAAGAAACAACTAGGCTACTTGATTTCTTGCACAAAATATGTGACGGATACATGGTCCAATATGAGGGAGTTGAATGCAACAAGACAAGATGCTGAAAGCCACATGAAGCGGAATGTAACGAATTGGATGAGAGAAACATAAATGATCAATGAAAAAGTGTCGAGCATTCCGAGTGATATCGAAACTTGTTTCAATCTTAAGGGTAGGCACAAGCTCGGAAGGAAAGCCTTCAAAGGAATTGAATTATTAATTTCTTCACCAACACCATATATTCAAATGTTGCTTCTACTGATCTAACTGCCAACATCTTTGTTGCTACTGCTACTTGGGACTCAAAAACAATGAAAAATCTGTCTCTAAAACTAATCATCATAACTCTCCAACTACGAAAGGAGTGATTGCAAAAATTGGAAAAATTAAACCTTGCTCCAATTACAGTATTTATATTTCAAGAATTTATGCTCATAAAAACCAATAACCACTATACGAACCTTAATCACTTGATCATTCTAAAATTTACGAAGGTACCCACATAGAAATCGTAAAGAACAAGCAATAACAAGTACCAACAATCTGCATCAAATACAGAAATTCAAAGTTCATCTACATAGAAGAACATTAAAAGGTAGAAGAACATTAAAAGGGGTTGAAATACCTGTCGTATAGTATGTTATTGTCAACCGCTTCTTGTTAAATATGATTGCTAGATTGCAAAACAGGTTCTGGGTTTTTCTAGGTTTTACCAAATATTGTGAAGGAGAAATGACAAAGCGAGGAGGGAGGGTTACTACGCTCCCACCGGTGATAGTCGTGTAAGAGACGTCGAGATGATGGAAATTAGTTGGAAGGTTTGTCAGGGATCCACCGATTTCATGCAAAAGATTCGGCTTAATTCAGGTTTATAGAAAATCGTCACCACCCCCAGTTCTTCAATGGCGGCTGCTTCATCTGGTTTGCCTTTACCAGGTCCGCCATTGGGGAACTCCTCGTCGTTCCCATAGGAAGCGTATTTTGAAATTACGATTTTGTCCACCTACGAGGATGGAGGGAGGGTGGAGAACGACAAGGGCAGGGAATAACGAGGGCTGGAGCGAAGAGGGCCAGGAGTGACAAGGAATGGGAGCGACGAAGGTTGGGAGATGGGAGGAGGAGGATCGAGAAGAAACCTAATCGTGAAAAGGGCACACATGGAAAATGAAAATCTGACCCGGGTAAGCATCATTTTTGTGATGTCTCGGTAAGTGTTCGGCCAGCATACCAGTCAGATTTCGGTGAGAGCGATAATTTAGTAAACAAGCTGACTGCTCAGCATTGTTGGTCGGTCAGTGCCTAGTAAACAGCCCCTAAGTCACTTGACGTTCCAACTAAGTTGTGTTGTCTAGATTTGGCCCAACTACCATCTTCATACTTGGTATTGTGTGTGAACGGGGGAGGAACACGGTGGAAAGTGATGCCGAAATGGGTTGTGTGTAAAGGGGTACTAGTGTCATATGTGGAGAGTATACGTGTGAAAAGGGGGAAGACCGATGTAGAACATGAAGGGTAGAGGTGGGTTCATGACGCTGGAGACAGTGGAAGGTGGCACCGAAAGGGTTGTGTGTATGTGTGTGAAGGGAACTAGTGTCGTATAGGGGGTCGAGGTGTCGGTACCACCATATTGAGATAGTGGAAAGTGATGTTGGAAAGGGTTGTGTATGTTTGTGTGAAGGGTACTAGTGTTGTGTTCTATGTGTGTGAAGGGTACTATTGTCGTGGAGGAGGCCGGTACAGTCAGAGATGACGCGTTCACGACATTAGAATAGGTGGAATGTGTTCACAACTTCACGCCACCAGAATAAAAGCGTAATCTAATAAAGTCCACATATTCTAACACTATCTACCCTTGGAACACGCAAATTACCTCCCCGTGATAGTCATGGGACCATTATGATGAAAGCATTGTAGAGGATCTTTACCTGTTTTACAAAATAACAACAAAGCAACGAAATGGTCATTGGTCCAATAGTACCTAGTCACTCGTATAGCACAGTCTCCCAAGAGGTCAAGGGTAAACCTCTTCAAAGATGAGGAGAGTATGCAAGTATTTACTATATATAAATAATAATGTTATATACAAAACAAATAACAGCAAAGCGACACAACATATATATAAAAGTAGTTTTAAACATAACTTACCCCTGGAACACGCGATTCACCTCCCATAATAGTCATGGGACCACTGGGCAATGTAGAAGATGGTGTCGTACCTTTTTTGCAGAATAACAGAAAACCAACCAAAGGGTCATCAGCCTAGTAGTACCGAGGCATTGAGAACCCATCCTTCCAGAAGATCAGGGGTTCAAACCTCATCAAAGGTAAATACTCAGAGGTAAATACTCGTAAATATGATTATATACTTAAAAAAAAGAATCAACACCAAAGGAACACACACAAATAAAACTAGTTTTAAACATAATTTGGACCAATTTGCATCAGAATCTAACAAAAAAAGAACTAAAAGGAAAAGAAATCAAGACATTTAATATATTAACATGTTTAGAAAGTTGCTACAAATCATCTACCAATCTTGCAATACATGCCCTAACAAATACCCACAAATTTGAAAACAAAACTTGAATCAAAGACAAAAAAAGTATGTGTATATCACAATTTTGAACCAAGAACTTCATTTTTCAAGCAATCAAATGCAAGATTGTTTCATGAGCAGGCTTGGAATGTTGAAGCTCAACAAGGAATCAAGACTTCAAAGGAAGAAGAACCTTTAGAAGGCAAGGGTTAGTGATGATGGCAACCAAAGCACACTGCTGCCTGCTATAACCCTATTTTCTTTGAGAATTTATCCGGAAGATTAGCAATCACGAAACCAGCAAATACCTGTAAACCACAAGAGAACGGCTATACGTTAACAAAAACACCATGCCCGCTTTTCTTGGATCCGCATATTGGTTGATAACATTGTTCAACGGTCAGCTAAACATCTAAAAAACGCTTCAATGATCACAAATAAGAGAATCTTGAGGCCCAAAATCATTAGCCAAATATTCTATTCTTTGAGTTAGATCAATGACACCAATATAAACAAAAAAGGAAGCAAACGATTGAGTCAAATGAACGATCTTTTGGATAAAAAATTTGATACGCATTCTTTAGCTTTCTGTGAAATTTTTAGCTATAAAGTTCCAACTATTACAAAGCCTAGATGTAGAAAGATGTCGGTGTTAAATATGTAACAAAAGGCACATCAATCTAAGTTTACAATCTAACAAGCTTGACCTCAAAAGTCAAAACTGTATCTCACCCATGACCATGAGACTAGAAAGCATGAAATTGCCTTATTTGAAATATTAAAGTTGAAAGCATCATCATTCCCTTTCAGAATTTCACAATTCACATTTCACAGCCAAAAGGTATATAAATTACCTGAAGGGAACCAAGAATGTAAATGGCGGAATAATGGCGGCCATGGATCATCATATCAGCCACCATGGCAAGCGGGATAGTGAGTGACATGCCCAAGGTGGCCACCAATGGAGTTGTCCATACAACACATAACGCCCTAATGAACACAAAATCAATCCATTTAGACTTCTAATAACGAATTTAAATCCAGAAAAAGCTATTTTATTTGCATACCAAAAATAGTCGGAAAGAACACTCCCAATAAGTCCGTTGGCAATAACTACTTCGTCCATCTTGGCCGAGTGAGGAATCTTGAACTTGGGTTCAATTCCTAACGCCGTTAGTGGCCAAACTGAAAAGGTGGCGACATCCCGTTATCAACCAAATGATAAAGAAATTCATAGCATTCAATGCACAAGTTTCCAACAATATCCCATTTTAATGACTCTTAGGCCATGTTTGGCAAACATAAGCTAGCTGGTTTTTTGAGCTTATTGAAAAATCCCCATTCAGTAACCCATAAGCTAGATTTTCAAAAAGCTACTTTAGATAACTTATTGGGGCTTTTTTCGCTTTTTTCCAATTATGCCCCATATATTTTACAAGGATGCCCCTTATATTTTCCTTTTAGTCATTCTACATTGTTATCTAGCTTAACAGCTAGTTTTTACCAAACATGACTAGTTTATCAGCCTACAGTTAGCTTCAGCTAGTTTGCCAACCATAGCCTTAACGAAGATTAGTTACATAAGATGTGAATGTTGAAAAATCGGATCAAATACCAAAGACTGTGAGGGTTTTTCCTTGCTATCTATATGTTGCAAGTGAACGAAAAATAGAAACTCTACCATGTTTTCCTTTCTTTAAAAGAATATATATAGTTACGAGGAGATAATGTCCAACAACCCACATATTTTTTTCCAAAGAAAGGAATAGTGTAGTTTGATGAGTTATAGACTTGACAGATTACTAGCTTAGACTTACCGAGCCACCATAGAGCTACAAGCGTAAATAAACCAATATATCCGAACAATTTTTGCACATCGACGCGTTCTCCTTCCTCCCCGGAAAACTTTTTAAGAAGCACTGTAATAAGGTTAAATAAAATGGAATTACATCCAACCATATATAACAAAAGGTAAACACACACATACAGAATCATATGTTGATATGGGCATGATGAGCCAATATAGAAGTGATTTAGACAGATTCTGATTCATTATAATAGATTTTGTATGGTTTGTTTCACAAAATCTAACTCAAATCATAAAGTTTTTAACAATTAATTTGAGAAAAGATCATACTCACCAGTAAAGAGCCCGTACGACATAGCAGAGCAAAGCCCGAACAGATCGCCAATGAGAGAGCGACCACCATTTCTTTAAAAGAAACAAAAAGTTGAACTATATATCAGTCAATGCCCTGAAACATTCAATAAGAACACCAAATTGATGAAAAAACAAAACATGTGGCCGTAAGATTGGACAAGAGAAAAAAAAAGGAAAGATCACAACTCATCTATATCATACCCACACACACGAATATATACACATCTTTCTTTCTTTTTTGGTAACTGTAGGTCGAGTAATCCCATGGGACCCTGAACATAGCAGTCAGGCAGTGGGCCATATGTGACTCGAACGGGCAACCACTCTAGCCTTTGTTTGCAAGTTGAGCTGGCCCTCAAAGCCATATATAAACATCTTTTTTTTTTCATTACAAAGTGATCCTAGTGTAGGAAGCCCGTTTGTCCCTAGACGGAGGGGAGTCGTATACAGTATTTTTCATGATTCGAATCAGTGATCTACGGTCACAAAGCAGCAACTTTACCACAAAAAAGTAAATGCAAACTAGCAAAGTGATGAAAGAGAGGTTCTTGAGCATTTAAAAGAAGGGGTGAGAGACTTACGAAGAAGAACTTGAAGCTGCTTCATCTGCAGCCCAAGTTTTTCCCATAGTGGTCATAGCAACACCAGCCATGCTGACAAAGACAGAAACTATCTTCGTCACGTTTAATGAATCTTGGCCCAAAGCCGCACCAATGAATAGAGTGAATAGGCCTGAAGTTGAAGACAGTACTGTCGTACTAGCAACACTCGTACGTGCAAGTGCAGCATTTGATAAATACTGAGATGAAATGAAACCATTAAGAAGCTAGTCAAGATTAATAAGTAGTTGTAACTACAGTTGCACCCTCCATTCTTGTTTTTGATTTCCAAATTTTGAAACTCAAATGGATTTCTTTAGAAATTGACATTTTAACACCAACACTTTTGTTATAGGTTTCAAAAAGTCGTTCGATTCACAGAAATGAATCATATAAATTTTGAAATCAAAATTCGAAATTTTTTACCCAAAAGTCTTAATATTTTTGTAAAAGATCTTCGACCATTTGCATCAACAATCGTCTTTAAAAAGACTTGTCGTAAAGTTCATTATAACTACCTCAAATATGTGAAAAGTTAAATGAGCATTGATGCATTTAATCGTAACAGATTGCATATTCATAAATGATTACCTCCGTGACAAACCAGATAGGTGCAATACAGAATCCATACGTAGCAACCTCCCTTGTTGTAAGCATGTTTTCTTGTTTCAATGGCAAATTATCACTTTTGCTTTTAGGGATTAACAGGTTTCCTTCTTCTTGATTAGAAATGTCATGATCACTGTCTTTTCGATTTAATGACCCTTCAACTTCCATTTCGAACATTGCCGAGCCACCAATATACATAAGAGGCGAGTTCCGTGCACCTGGGGATTGAGCTTTTGTACCATTTCTAGCAGATCGTTTTCGGATTAACATATATATCAAGTCCTTGATGAATGCAATCGGAAGATAAATTACCATTAATGAAGCTCCAAGATATGTCACTGCAAATGGTTGTTTATAATCCGTGAAAATTCCCTGTTTTTAATGTACAAAAATGGTCAGAAATCTGTTAACTAAAAACACCATTATTCTGTTTAAGCTTTAATGAAGTTTTTTCCCGAAGGAAGTCTAAACTCTGTTTAGCAAAAAGGAATGGAATGTACTCTACATCCTAAAGAAGTGCAATGTGGCATCGGATATATAGGATTGGAATGTTGGGTAAATGTCAAAAATACCCCTCAACAATGACAAAGTAGAGGAATCTTGTAGACTAAAATCAGTAACTTGCAATGATGACAATGGACAAAAGAGTCATTTTAACATGAGATTGTATAAGATATGGGAACAGTGCAACTAATATAGGATTTGTTGATGTTAAAAATTTGACTACCTTAGGTATGGTGTCCATGGCCTTTCTGACCAAAATTAATAAATATTGGACATCACAAAATGGAAACTGCAATTGATAAGTACTATTCATAGAACATCATAGACAGAAATCTACCATTTTTAACACTATGAACCATTTAAACCGAAGTGTTGTTTGATAAATCCGAATGAATTGATAGCATAACTACTTAACCAAAAAAAAGACACCTTATCATACTATATGAAATCAACCACAAAATGCACATATACATGGTCTTCTAAAGGCCTGTTTGTTAGCAGCCTAATGAGCTTAATGGCACTCAGCTTATTTGATCAGCTATACATGACTGTTTGTTAGTGGCTTAATGATATAGAAAGTGACATATTCAATAAACTTGTACGGGAAAGCTTTATGCAGAAAGCCAAGTTCTTTTCCAAACCTGCTCCTCCCAATTAAAAAATACAGTCCCTAAGAGATCCTATTAGAAAACCTTCCCAATCTACAGAGACAAATTCATCCACACAAGGACTTAATGGAAAACCAACCAAACAGTCCCTAAGAGATCATTAAACTCGAAAACAGATTGAAGCTCACTTGTATCCAACAAAAACATAGGCTTAAACATTTCTGTACCTTATAGAACCAAAAGAAAAGGTTGACTTTTTAATCCTATTCCCTATCTACATGGGTAACCACCAACTTCCTACTCCTGGATTTCAAGAAACTCATGTGATCTAACTCAAATTTTGGAACTTTAAACATATCTGACAACATGAAACAGATGGACAATCATTTCTGGGTTAAATTTCAAAGAAACAATCAAGAAATCAGCAAATCCAAAAAGAACATTGCAGATATCTTCAAACAACAAAAGTCAAACAGACACACCTACACACAGATACGAGACAAATAGAAACAATCAAGCGGTCGATCGCCCAACAATGACACATGATTAAAAGATATAAATTGATGGAAACAGTATAAACGATTACAAGTTAATACAAGAAATCTGAGAATTTGACCTGGGTGACTTCGGCAGAGGAGACCCATATGATGACAACAGTAGCAATTAGAACCAATCCAGCTTTATATTTCCACCCCATCAATTACAATGAAAAACCCACAAACCTTAGTTGAATGAAAACACCAAAGATCTGTGGTTTTGCGCACCCAGATCTTTGATTGAAATGGCTCAAAAGTTGGAAATTTCTCAATTCTCACCGACGGAATTCACTTGAAAAATGTTGGTGTAAAATGGGGTTTTCTGGGGTCCCTGATCTAAGCTTCTAAGCATTAAACAGAGAGGGAGATGCGAGAAAGAAAAGCCAAAATGTCGAAGCTTTTTATGTCTTGAAATTAGCCGCAGTTAATAAATCTTTATATTCATATCTATTTTTTCTTCACCCTTTCTTGCCTCAATGATGACCAAAATCAAGATGTGTTTTCCCCATTCTGTCTGAGAAATTCTAATCCGGGAAAGTTGTGACTCCTGCGTCTCAAAAATATTTATTAAAAACATTTAATTTTTTAACATTAGATACCAAATATATATATATATATATATATATATATTAATCTGGATATCCAACCCGCTATGCAAGCTAACTAATCTCAAGACGACCACCTGTTTTGCAGATAGCCTGGAGTCATCACATTTAAACCTCTATGGCCACAAAAGGATTTTTATTCCTCCTTAGATTTGAACCTGAGACCTCCTACTTCGCAAATATTTTTGCTTTTGATAAAAAATAAAATATAAGAAAAACCTATAAAGTCACAATACAAGCTTTACATATACCAAGCAACAAAAAAGAGAGAGACTTGTACTAGAAAGTTAACAAATAAATTGTTGCATTAGAGTGAATTACGTTTTTGGTCCTCTGTTTTATCAAAAAAATACGGATCGAGTCTCTCAAGTGAAATAATTACGAAAATGAGCCTTGTGGTATGCACTTTATTATTTATTTGATCTCTCACCCAAACTTAGTTAAAAAAATGGGCCAACGAGAGGACATTTTGATCTTTTACCCATTGATTGATTGAAAGATCTTTTTGCGTCATTCATATGTTGCCATGAGCCCCTTTTCCTGTTGGAATACGGAGTCATATACTCGGGAAAAGTAACTGTATTGTTTCAAGAAATCAAATGAAATGGAGTAGGATGGGTGTTTCGACCAGTATGCGTAGCAACCGATTGATACTGTATCTGAAGCTAAGCAACAAACTCAAATTGATGCCTCCACGGTATCTACAAAAATGCATTGAATCCAGATGACGTTCAACGCCAAGCGAGGAGATCATCTTTTTTTTTTATTAACCTGGATATCCAACCCGCTATGCGAGCCGACTAATCCCAATGCAACCACCTGCTTTGCAGATAGCCCGGAGTCATCGCATTTGAACCTCCGTGGCCACAAGAAGATCATCTTCCTTTCTGAATACTAGATACAGTTTTCAACTCCTTGGAGTAAATAAAGAGCAGCTTGTGGAATATAAATTTCTATATATAGGGGTGGGTTCAAATGAGAACTCATTTTTCATTGTGAACATGAGGAAAAATCTTTGACCATTGATCAAAATTTTGAAAACTAATCAATAGTTAAAACATAAAAAGGTTAATTAAGAAGTAATTAGGGGTACAAATGGAATTTAGGGTATACGCCTAAATTTGACTTTTTCTTTTCTTTTTTAATTAAAAAACTTTTACCCCCTTAATTTTTAAACTAAATTATCTTAAAAATAATTAAACTTTAATCAAACAAATAAATCGAGCATTTCATCCTCCTCAATTTGGTATAGATCTCAATATAGTTTTTTTATATATAATTTTAACGTTTTTTTTTATATCAAATAGTATATCTGTGTAATATTCATTATGAATATTTATGCATGTTCATATGTTTATAGCAACTCTTTAATATTCATATATGAGTATGATATTCATTATGAGTATACAACTTACTATAACATTCATCATGAATAGTTATGTATTTTCATGTGTATTCAACAAATCTTCAGTATCCATACATCATTATGACATTTGTCATCAATATACGTCTTCATTAAAACATTCATCATGAATATACGTTTTCTCTATAACATTCATCATGAATATATATACATTCACGTGTACACAATAACTCTTTAGTATTCATACATCAATATGATACATACTATTCATCATGAATATTTATATATGTTTACGTGTATATAACAACTTTTCGACATTCATACATCAGTATGATATTCATTTTCACTGTAACATTCATCATGAATATTTATGTATGATCATGTGTATACAATAACTCTATAGTATTTATATTAGTATGGTATATATGATAAATATTAATTTTCACCATATTATTCATCATGAATATATTACAGTTTCAAATCTACATACTTTAGTTTTTCTTTCTTTTTTATTAGGTTCTCGATTAATCTGGATGAGTTCGACTCGTCTCGATAGATTTCCCGATCCATCTTGATAAAAATTAAAAGTGGTAGGTTATGGTTTTACACAAACAAACACACAATAAATAATCAATAGGTTCTCAATCGGTCTCGATGAAAAATGAAGGTGTTTATGATTTTAACACATAATCGTACACCAAGTCAATAGATGGGTTCTTGATTAGTCTTGATTGGTCCCAATGGGTTGTGAATTGATCTTGATGTGTTCTTAATTAGTCTGAATGGATTCTTGATCCATCTCGATAAAAGCTGAAAGTGGTAGCCTATGGTTGCACACACACAAACAAATAATAAATCAATTGTTAGATTCTCGATGGAAAATGACGATGGTAGGTTATGGTTTAATACACACAAACACATATCAAATCAATGAATGGATTCTCAACCTCTCTTGATCGGTCTCGATGGGTTCTCGATCGATTTTGATAGATTTTTGCTTGGTCTCGATAGGTTCTTGATCGGTCTTGATGGGTGTTGGGTTACGGTAATGAAGAATACAATGCCTTATGATGTTGAAGAAGGTATTGAAGAATGTGATCTTGAGTTACAGACTTACAGTGTCGAACTGTAGTACACACTTTAACATATACAAATATTCATAATATATATAACATGTACATACCATTTCACATAAAAACAATTAAAACGGAAAAAAAAACTATATCGAAATGGATATCATATCGAAGAGCATGAAACTCTCGGTTTTTGATATAATTTGTTTGATTAAAATATTAGTAATTTCTAAGACAATTTATTTTAAACTTTAAGGGGGTAAATGTTTTTAATTAAAAGAAAAATAAAAAGTCAAATAAGGTTGGCGTGGATTGAATTAACTTTCTTTTTTACCCCTAATTACCTTAATTAATAAATTTAATTAAAAACACTATTTAATGTGATTTGTTGGATCAAATAAGATAAAAGGTCAAGATTGGTCATCATGTTCATAATGAAAAATGAGTTAGCAAATGAACTTCCCCCCCCCCTCTCTCTTTATATATATATATATATATATATATA